AAAAAAATGACGAAAAGCTTGTTTAATGTAGATCACTAGCCAGGTGCTCCATGGGAGGCCTGAGTTTATAACTCGGAGTTGTTTGAATTCAGTCAGCAAGTCGTCTTCGAGGTTCTAAAGCCCATGCGTGAGCCCGAGTATTTCGGGCTTAACAAACACAACACAATGACCAGACAGTTTTTTAAAGACTGTGGGCCGGTTATTTACACGAGGCCTAACCTAAACCACGTTTTACGTAATCAGTGGGCCTCAGGGATTCTCTATAAGAGGTTAATTTAACCAAACAAATGTCCCGCTTCCACTATTAATTTTCGGCCCTCTTAACACTGCTCATAAAAATAAATGTTTAGATAGAAGTTTCAGCTAAATTAAGAATAGCTTAGGAGGCTGTCTTGTTAAACAACAGTTACACTTTGTCTAAATAACTCGCCTTATGGGTTTACTCCACGATAAGGCATTGTAAATTACCTGCAAGTTCCAAAAGCTTTCAGAGGATAACACAACTCCTTAACCTTTTCTTTATCCTGCAGAGAGAGTAAATTAAAACATTTAAGAGGATTTCACTACTTCGTTCTGCAAAATATTAAGAGCAGCCTCCCAGTTTCGTCTGTTAAAATTAAAATTATACTCCAATTTTATTTCAAAGACATGCCTGTTTTGCAAGGTCGGCCATTGTATCAAGTAGTTGTGGAACTTCCTGACCTGACCTCTGTACAAGCTGACGTATGGAAGGAGCGTGATACATATTTCGGCCATTAGTCACAAAAATAACAGAGACACAGCCATGCTCCTTCAGAAAATCAAATTCACAAAGTAAAAAAATGAAGATATGATTGTCCCTGTGGGTCAGTGGCATGTTATTGGTTGGTTGATCCCTGTAAAATTCACTGTTCGTGCCTCAAGTTGTAATTCATATACGTAAGACAAGTTCACTTTTTTTCCTTTTTTTCTATTGTTATGGACTTTGAAAAAAAGAGGTTAATACCAAATCAACTGAACCAAACAAGTTTGGTCAATAAATCATTAATAAATTAGCTGAAAGATTAGATAAACAAAAATTACTTTTGTGGAAACAGAGTGGGAATTACTCACGTGACGGCAAGATCTCATACGCTCTGGGATCATAAACTTTGTAGAAAGGATGTTAAAAAGTTAGGACTACCTCAATGAATTTTAGAAAAGAAGTGAAGAGTGTCTTACTTCAGATGATGTGAAAGTCCCAGCTAGAGTGGCGGGTCTTTTGCTAAATCGTGTCTTTGAACCAGGAAAGTTGAAGTGTATTACACATGAGGCATTTGTGATGTTCATCTGAACAATAACGTCTTCCGCTATTACTGAATTTTATCATTAAAAATCATTAAAATCATTAATCATTAAAATCATTAAACTGTGATTTCATTGTTCATCTTTTCGCCAAAGATGAAAATTAAAATCTAGAATAAACTATATAACTATATGCATAGATGCATCAATAAACTGAACCTACAAAATGCTTTATTCAAGAACACATATAGTAATTCCGATAGAAAACACTTCGAAAAAAAAAGGGATACAGATGATGCACAATTTCAAAACTTCAAAGTCCTTAAAGCAGGCCTCCTTGGTCATTTCTTTCATTTTCGTTTCTTTTTTTTTTCAGCTTTTGCCAAATCATCAAACTCACTTTAACACAAGTGGAACTTACGGGAAACATAAGATTCTGTGGGACGGCCTTTCCATTGAGAGTTTTGAAGACATTATGGCATACCTAGAACTGGCATAGTATCAGTGGTGTGCGGAGTGTTCCACTGTCTCTGAATATTGTCAAGTTCATGAGGTGGTAGAAAATTGTGTACCACAAGAGCAAAATAACAGTTTGCATTCAGGAATTGTCCTACGTTCTCTGCTTCCGCTGCCGTAGATGTGAAAACACAAATGACTTTTGTGCTAATAAACGATTCCAGGTAACCTATCATGGGAAAGAAAACGTTAAAGAAAGATTTAAATCCTTACACAAAAACGGAAATGAAATGAAATGAAAAAGTAGAAAAATTGCGAGATATTTCCAAGGTTCTAAATACATGTAGAAACAGACAAAAGGTTTGATCATTCCCACTTTCCACAAGACAGCTGCTTGTCAACTATATGTTTTGACTTCACTTGCTGTTTATATCTTCGTCATTTGTTATCTAATTCCGGTTAGGCAAGCCTATATGTGCTTAAAATCCTATCCAGAACACTATGAATTTTAAATACCCTTACCAAGAAGTTCCACATCTCTCTGGCTCTCGGAGCAAAATGTTACAATTTGTTGCACACCCCTGTAGATAGCTACTTCAATCATGTCAGGAATCAACACCACAGGATTCGCAAGATATGCCTTCACCAGTGATGCTATACCCACACTCCAAGACGAAGCCATGACAACTGCCTGCCGTGGTGCTGAACGACAGGTTTGGGATTTCAATAGGTTGGCGTAGTGTCTCATGATGCATTTGATCTCAGATGTGAAGTCCTCCACCATTATGTCCGCGTCATGAAATACCAAGTGACAGAGTCGATCAAGGGATATATAACATTTCCTGAGCATTCGAAGGAAGCAAGGTGGTGTAGCAATCAGGATCTCACAGCCATTCACTAGTGGTATGATACGATTCTCTTCTGCACCAGCAGCAAATATCAGCTGCACACTAATGTTCCTGGTTTTAGCTAGAATGAGCTTGCATTGCCTGAAGATATCAACAACAGCTCCCCATGTTGAAGCAAGGATAAGAAACTGCGGCTGGAAAGAAAATACAAAGCGAAATTCACAACAATATAAAGATCACATATCATATAAGATTATATATGACTAAAGGGGGTCAGTTTCTGTGATGCTGTGTCAGTGGGAGAGTATAACAGGGATATTTGGAATTGTGGGTGGTGTGTGTTTATATGCAGAAAATGGAGCTAAGCTATTGATGGGAACATGGTGACGAGAAACAAGAATAAATTAGTTAAATGAAAAGCGGGATTTAAAGGTTAGCTAGGGGCACAATATAGCATGATAGCGGCATTCACATGTACCAAGAGCGTGAAATTTCAAAGACAAACGGAGCCCTTTTACTATCAACAGCAAACTACACAGTAGATACTGTCTCTGTTTTTACCAGCCAAGATGCTTGATCCGTACAGTTGGCAAGAAAAGGTCTATTAATTTAACTTTACCAGGAATTTTGAATTTGAAAATGATTTTTCATGAGCTTGA